TACCTTTTTCTGTCCCTTTGCTTTTCATCTCTGTGTGTCTTTGTGTTTGAAGCAGATTTCTTGTAGACACCGTAGAGATGGCTCACATTTTTTGTCCGCTCTTAAGAGGCTATTTCTTATATTTAGACCATTCACATTTAAAGTGAATATTTATATCATTGGGTTAAGATCTGTCACACGTATATTGTTTTCTGTTCCTGGCTCTTGTTTCTGTTTTTGTTTTCCATTCTCTTCCTGCCTTTTCTCATTCTTTTTTCCCGCATGGCTGCACCAGGCGGGATCTTAGTTCCCCGACCAGGGATCAAACCCAGGCCCTCGGCAGTGGAAGTGCCAGGTCCTAACCACTGGATGCCAGGGAAGTCCCTGCCATTTCTCATCTTGATTGAGCATTCTGTGTGATTCCATTTTCTCCTCTCAGTATGTCAGTTATACTTCTAGAAAAAATTTTTAGTAGTTGCCCTAGAGTTTGCAATGTACACTTAGAACCAGTCAAATCCACTTTCAGATAACACTGCCTGCTTCAGGGTGTAGCCACATTATCAATCTCTCCCTCAGTCCCTTATAACAGCTGTCATTCACTTCACTTACAAGGCATAACACTGAAGCCATCATTGTTATAGATCAGTTTAGAACCACAAAGGTTAAAGATTTTACTTTACCCCCATTTATTCCTTTTCCAGTGCCCTTCTTTTCCTTTATGTAGGTCCAATTTCTGACCTGTATCATTTCATTACCTTCATTACCATTTTAACGTTGAGCAGTCTGGGGGTCTCTCTGAAGCTGTCCTGCAGGCGTGCAGGTGGGTCAGATGGATGTGTACAGACTGTTATCACAGTGCAGCCAGGTCCTCCGAGAAGGCCCAGCTAACTAGGGATTAAGAGAAGACGAAGCCCAGCTGCAAAAACCAGGGATTGGCCCAGCCTCCCACACAGGAGCCCCCAGCCAAGGCAGAGGCCATGCAGGAACCAGCTCCCAGATGGACACAGGAACGGGACCCCCTGCCCTCCAGCCAGCCGTGGGCTGGCCCAGACTGGATTCCATCAAATCCAGGATAGCCCCTCAGCCGTGCTGTGCTCTGCCCTGCCCAGCCTGCCTCAGGAGGGGCTCTCAGCTGGCCTCAGGGTCTCCCTCGGCCGCCTGGACCTGGCAGGACAGCAGGCGTGTTCCCTGAGCAGAGCTGGGATGGACGCAGGGAGTGGCCTGTGCGTCAGTCACTCGCTGAGAACCCGCAACACCTGCCAGGAAGACGTCTCCAGGAGGTGACGGCGCCCATGGCCTCCCTGCCCAAAAGGCGGCTCCAGAGCCGCGGGGACTTCCTTCCAGTCTCTTTTTGGGGACAGCTTTGCAGTTGGTTTTATCTTCCTTGCCCCACTTGACACTTTGTATCTGCCGCTTGCTGGTGGGCGGTGATCTTCCCTGCACTGTGCAGGGGGTGCGGTCACGCAGGGGGCAGAGTCCTGTCCTCAAACCGGGTGTCGACCTTGACCTAGTAGAAGGTCCTGAGCCCCAACTTCTTTCAGCCAGAAAGAAGGGTGGGGACAGTGTGGCAGAGAGCTGGCCGCCCACGAAGGATGGGCCGGAGTGCTTCCCATAGGACCCTCAGGAAGGACCTTTCACAAAGTCGTTTTCATAAACATGGGATACACCTTCCCAAGCCTAATTACAAGAGGTTTCTGTAAATGAGACAAAGAATGTAAAGGCTTTTAACAGCAAACTGCAGCAATTTGCCAGAATTCTCAAACCCTAACAACAGTTGTTGTTTTCCTTCTGATGCTTCTTTAAGTGAATGTCCTAGATACTAAAGGTTAATAGTACAATTCCCAGCTGTCCCCTGGGTTGCCAGAAGGGATTGCCAGTGGTGTGGAGACCCCAGATGAAATGTATTTCCTCAGCCCGTGCCTCGTTCCCTAATTGGAAGGAAATTGCTTAATCCCATGTAAGTGTAAATGCTGTTAACAAAGATATTCTAGGGTAAAGGGAACTGTGGTTTGTAGCAGTCTTCTTTTTCTTAATTCATTTAGCAGACCTGCCAAGGACTGTGTGAGCCTCTGTGCTGACACCCCCTGGGGTGGGAGGCCTCCCGGCAACCTGGACTCTTGACATTCATGAAGACACACCTTCGGCTGTATTATAAGCTCTTATTGGCTTAACTTTTCATTGCTTTGACTCAATCTTGATTAGATTTGCAAGAACAATGAAATTAGCTGGGCAGCCTTTTTAAAATCAAGCTGTATTATTTTCATTTTGCAAAAGCCATTCAAGGATGCACTGCATGAATGCATTTTGATAAACTGAGCCTACTTAGTTCTCATCATTCTGTTTTATTCTCTACAAATAAATTTTCTCCTAATGTTTGTTCTAGTGGAGAATGAAATTCTTTGCTCCAAGAGTGTGAAGGATGACTCTTCTATCTTTCTGGAAACTTAGGTCACATCTTACTTTTTTTAAAATGTCTAATTTCACCACTTTTCAACAAGGATGGTCTGTGATTTGCAGTGAATCTTGATGGTATGTACAATGCTTCACATTCCAAGAAAATCAGACCAACTCAGTCCCCTGTTTAAAATTCCTTTCTGTCTCCTCATCCCTTCCAAGACCAAGTCTGGAATCCCCAGCGAGACCCTGGATGGTCCTGGCCTGCCAGCCTGCGGACTTCACAGCGGTCTCACCTGCCTCTTTTTTCTGCCTGTTTGGCCTCCAGCCCCACCTCAGGGTGAAGAGTGGGCCTGTGCCTCTCCCTACCTGCAGCCCCTCCTCGGGTCCATTCTTTCGGGAAGTCTCCCCTGACACTTAGGCCAGCCTAGAGGCCTCTCTTTTGCACCTCTGAGGGGTCTTTTCCATTTCTCAATTTAGCATGTATTTCATGGTTTTCTTTAATAAACTGATTTTTTTTAGAGCAGTTTTGGGTTCACAGCAAAACCGAGCAGAAGGTACAGCGCTTTTCCGCGTTCCCCCACCCCCATACACACACAGCCTCGCCCGCTGTCAGCATCCCCCCTGGATCGTTGCTGACCGTATCGACACGCCATCATCATCCAGAGCCCATAGCTTACAGCGGGGCTCACTCTTGGTGTTGTCGTTTTATGGATCTAGACACACTTCGGACATGTAGCCATCATTACAGCGCCACACAGAACAGTTTCCCTGGCCTAAAACCCTCTGCGCTCCGCCTCCTCAGCCCTCTCTCCCGCTTAATACCCGGAAACCACTGATCTTTTCACCATCTGTGTAGCTTTGCTTTTTCCAGTATGTCCTGTAGTTGGAATCATACAGTGTGTAGCCTTTTGAGCTTGGCTTTTTTCACTTAGTAATACGCATTTAAGGTCCCTTCACGTCTTTTCATGGCTCAAGAACTCATTTTTTAAAAATCATTGAATAACATTCCACTTTCTAGATAAACCAGAGCTTATGTATCCATCCAGCTACTGAAGGACATCTTGGTTGCTTCCATGTTTGGTAATCCTGAATAAAGCTGCTGTAAACATCACGTGCCGGTGTTGATGTGGACACACATTTTCAGCTCCTTTGTGTAAATACCAAGGAGCGAGATTGTTTGATTGTATGGTAAGACTGTGTTTAATTTTGTAAGAAGTTGCCAAACTGTCTTCCAAAGTGGCTGCACCATTTGCCTCCCCGCCAGCAGTGATGAGAGGTCCTGTTGCTCCACATCCTCACCAGCATTCGGTGCTGTCAGTGTGTGGGCTTTGGCCGTTCTCATAGGTGTGTCGCGGTGTCTCATTGCTGTGTTCATTTGCATTTCCCTCAAGACGTGATGCTGAACATCTTTTCACATGCTTTTCTCCTGTCTCTGTATCTTCTCTGGTGAGGTGTCTGTTCAAGTCTTTGGCCCAATTTTTAATCAGGTTATTCTGATTCTTATTGTTGAGGTTTTTTTTTTGTTGTTGTTTTTTTTGGGTGGGGGGGGGGGGCTGTGCTGCGCGGCATATGGGATCTTAGTTTCCCAACCAGGGCTCAAACCTGTGCTCCCTGTATTGGAAAGAGGATTCTTAACCACTGGACCACCAGGGAAGTCCCTTTACTGTTGAGTTTTAAAAGTTCTAATATACTTTGGATGGCAGTCCTTGATCAGAGTGTCTTCTGCAGATATTTTCTCCCATACTTCATGATCTTTTTACTTGTTATTTATCTGCTTTTCCAGCCTGACTGTGGCATCCATGAAAGTGTAGATTGTGGCATCTACCCTATGTTCAAAGTGCTATGTGTATATCCCACACTAAAGAGCATTGTATATGTATTTGTTTGTTGAATAAATAAATCACAAACGTTGGAGTAAAAAGGAAATGAGGGAACCAGAGAAATCACATAAGAAGAGATACTGACAAACCAATAAGCATATTTCTCTTTCCATGTCGAAGAAGTGGAGCCTAAGCTGTGGAGTTCCAGCCTTACCATCCAGCAGGCAGTGCTGCCTGTGAGCGTCAGTGCAGTGGGCGGGAGTGGGCGGCAGGGGTCGGAGGTTCTGTGGGAAGCGCCTCTGAAAGGGGTTCCACCATCTCTGTGCTCACGCGCTTGGACGCAGTAACCCCACTCCATGAGCGCATCCTAAGAGAAGGGTCCAGCACAGAAGGAGCCAGGTAGACAAATGCCCACCGCCTCGGGCTAGGGCAGTTTGGAGACCTGGTGTCCAGTCAGGAGAGTGGCCGAGAGAACCGGGACCTAAGGGGACAGCCATGCAGCAGCCTAAGGGCAGGACGAGACGGAGCAGGGATGGGGTGCTCGTCACGGCCTCAGAACATGCACGTTGGAAAAAGGCAAAAACGAAAATACTTGGTTAGTAATATGCCTGAGCTTTAAAACCTGCTCTTTGTTGTAATTTTGTGCCATGAATGGAAATTATAAAAAGCTTAGGAACATTTATATAAACTCACAAATGAGAAGCAAACCTGGGGCACCTCATGTTACCGTCTGTGACCTGAGGGGCAAAGAGAAGTTGGGGGACAGAGCCGCCTCTGAGCCCGGGTCTGCTTCCCTGGGCCTAGGCGCTGTGGTCGCCGTGGACGAGAGCACCGCCTGCTCGTGGCCTGCGTGTGACCTGTGTGGCGGTGAGAGACTGGAACGGAGGCCGGAAGACAGGTAGGGGCAGCAGCAGCAGCAGCCCGGGACCCCACTGCCTTGGGCCTCGGGCCAGGGGCCGGGCCCAGGGCACACGGAGGAGGCCGGGCGCCGTGTTTTCTCTCCTCACGACTGGGGTTCTGCGGTTCCCCGAGGCTCTTCCTGTCTTAAAAGAGAGAAGAGCCAGGTTTCCTCAGCTTCTTTGTTATCAGGCGGGAGGAAAAGACCTTGGGGCTGACGCGAACGTGAGGCACACTTGGTGACGGCACAGCCGACCTCTGCAAGCAGACACCCCTGCCCAGCCTTACCGCCCCCACCCCGGGGCCCGTCCTCGGCACCGGTCCTCCGGCCCCCCCGTGACTGTCGGAGGCACGTGCACGGGGCGTGTCATCACGTTCCTGCTTCTTGGCGCCTCACAGGTGGTGGCCTGGACAGGCCTTCCTTGGAAGCAGGAAGAAGCAGAGACACTGGTGGTGGGAGCAGGTTTGCCGTGCGGCCCTTCCCCTTGTTGGCTGCGTGGCTCAGCCGGGGGGGCCCCCACGCCAGGCGCTGCGACCGCGGAGCCCAGGCTGCTTGGGGCCTGTTCTAGGAGCCGGGTTTCTGCGCCCCCCTCTAACACAGCAGACGGACACTCGCTCGCGTGCAGGGAATGTCTGTGTGTCTGCCCGCCACCAGGCTCCCACGCTCTGTGCCTTCTTGTTTCCAAACAACAGGGGCGCCTTCTCCTGTGGGGACTGCTCCCGCGTGGTCACCTCTCCCCTCCTCAGAAGGCACCTGCAGGTCTTCCTGGACTGCCCCTTGCGACCCCAGTGCACAGTGAGGGTCAAGGTAGGAACAGGTGGGAGCTCGTGCATCTGCGTCCACCTACTGCGTGCCCCCTTCACCCGCGGCCGGGCCGGGGTGGCATCTCCTGCTCTTTTCCTGGGAAAGGGGGCAGGGCTCCCCCGAGGGGCCGCAGCCCTCCCCTGTCTGACTTAAGGCTCTGCGATGGAAGCTGGTGGCTTCGAGTCACACATCAGGCCTCGGTGGGGGATCCTTCCGGTGAGCGGGGTGGGGGTCCTGACTCCGCCCGTGGCTGTTCTTGCAGCTGCTGCAGCACAGTATCTCTTCGCTCCTGAGGTTTGCCACCTGCGAGGACGGGGTAAGTTGGGGCGCCCAGCCCAGGTGCGTGTCCTTACTCTCCTCCCCCGTGTCCCCTGGCTGCAAGGGCCCTCCATGTGCCACATGGAGCTGAGAGTCCGGACTCTCCCGAGACTCGGCTAGGCCTTCTGCTCCCTCTTCTGACTCACGCCCGCGTCTGCTAACAAGATCCTTTCCCTTTTTGGAATCGAGGTTGTTTTCTGATCGGTCTTGCAGTAGACATACGAATCTGTCCCCCAGCTTTGATTATGGTAAGTCGGTCTTGAGGTTTCAGGTTAAACCTCCTGCCATGGTTTCACGTTAATAGGACAATTACCTGAGATGCACGTTTTTCTAAATTGCTGGGTCTCTAGTCTGAGTGCCTGGAAACTTGACTTTCACTTCTCACATCTGCCCTGTTACTGTGGTGAGCTTTGTAAAGAGGTGTGAGGTGTGCTCCTCAAAGAAAGCACCGCCTGAGCACACATACCTTACCTTTGGTCCTCACATAAACGAGAGAGGTCTGTCCTTGTCAGAGCCATTTGAAAGCCCCGTAAGTGGCCTGTGGAATCGCTGAGCCCTGGAGAGAGTGCTATGTCTGTGCCCTGCTGGGATCCACAGCCAGGTGGCAGATATGGGCCAGCTTGTGAGACTGCTGTGAAAGGGGAGGCTCACACTCGCAGAACTTTGTGATGGGTTCCCGAAGCGAAATGCCAGCTCTGATGCCAGCCCGAATTTGGAGGCTCCCAGGCTGCTCTCCCGGCCACTTCCCAGTCCTGTCCCAGCCCGTCCTGGGCTTGGGGTGTCGGGGGAGAAGCAGCCCTTAACACTCTTTCATGTGCACCGGATGTCAGAGTTCGGAGTAAATTGGAATGTGGACAAATCTGTGCACAGAACCTTTAAGGATCCCTGGTCTGACTGTGGTTCCAGCTCTCATTCCTGGCCTCGCGCATCTCTTGAGAGCAACTCGGTGACCCCCGCAGCGCAAACCTTTGTCCGGGGGGCTGCTGCGTGGTGGGGATTGATGTTTGAACCCTGCTGTAGGAGGGCTTATAGACACATGTGCCTGACTGTGTGACAGTCCGTGTCAGTAAGCGTGTGTGATGCCTGGGCACGGTGCTGCCCGCTGTCCCCGTGCTGCCTCACCTCCTCCCCAGCATCCCCGTGGGCGCAGCCCATGCTGCCCGGGAGGCGTCGGGGTAGGCCCGCGGCACGCTCCCTGCCGGATGCAGAGACACTGCAGAGCGGGGCCATCGCTCTGCTCACCACCTGCAGGGTAGCCAGCCCGGGTAGGGCCCGCAGGGGCCTTGTGTGTGTTGCGCTCTCGTGGAGTCCTGCGTTTCACGGGTGGCGAGGCCGCGGTTCCTGGGACTGCGGGTGCTTAGGTGAGGCCGATGGAGTGGGTTCCAAGGTGGGGCTGCAAACGGGCACTAAAGCCGGCAGATCCGGGTCATCGGAGAACACGTTCCTCTGGAGGATGCTGGGGGAGTGCTGCTTAAGAACAGAGCGAAACGAACCCAGCAGAGCGCATGGCTGAACGCCTGGGGACGGCACCCAGAGCACCTGCCAGCCCTGCGGTTACTCAGGCACCTGCCTCCCCTGGGCCCCCAGCTCCCAGGAGGGTGGCCCTCAGCCACCTGCTCCATCCAGGGACCTGGCAGGAACCCGCGTTCACGTGTCGCTTCGGGTGGAGGCAGGCTGTGCCTCCCCCACAGTAAACTCCTGCTGCTCCTAGAGACACAAGAGGCGGGCGTGCGGCCCAGTTGGCGAGCGCCTCGGTGACCCTGCGTGGCTGCTCTGCTGTCAGAGGCGAGGCCGGTAGGACTGGGGGGGGCGCCGAGCTCCTAACCCCCCGCTACCGCCCCCCGGTCTATGCCCGGTGGATTCTCAGGCTTTACGCTGACCTGGAGGGAAGCGGACACCTTCCTTCCTACCTGTAGGAGACCTCCCGGGGGCATCGGCCACGAGGCTCATCTGGATTCTGTCGGTTTTCAGGATGAGAAGGTACATCCACCAAAATCCAGAGAATCAGATGACTTTACACGAGAACCGCGGCTCCACTCCCGGAACAAAATGTGCTGCTTCCGGGCCGGCACACACACGTGCCTTTAAAATAGAGGCACATTTTACACACGTGCGTTCGTATGACCGGCACATGTGAGTTTACTGGTGTGATTGTTTTAACTTCTCCGTCTTAACTTCTCCCCAATATAATGTATAGTGTAATGTCCATTTATAAACGAGACAGTTATTATCAAAAACTGTAGTTGCCAACCCTGACACTTTAAAAAGAGGGTTTCTGCAGACTTTTCTTCCAACGCCAAGGCCCGTGCTCGTACCCAGCCGCCTGGGCCCACACCCACGCGCAGGTGCAGCCCTCAGTAGCCAGCCCGGGTAGAAGCCCTGGGAGTGACCTTGACATCTTGGCCGCGGGAGGCCTCCCCACTGTCCAGTCGCATCCTCTCCTTCCCTCTCTCTGCCTGCCTGGACTGGCGACTCTCAGCCCTGCTTCACCTGGCGTGCCACCAGGAAAGCCGCAGCTCCCTGCGAGCCACAGTGGGGAGGCCGTGCCTGTCTCGTACGCGGGAAGACAGCCACGGCGGTGAGCTGGCTTTAGGGCAGCGTCCACATCCCAGACCGATCTGGACACTTACTGCTTCAGAATGAGCCGTCTCAAGGCTCGGTGCTTCCACACCGACTCTGCACACAGACCTGCAGTCTGGACGAGGCTCCATGGGGCAGCAGCTGGTGCCCCAAAGCTGGGCTGGTGTCCCAGGAGGCCCTTCAGTCCCCGGCTGGCTGCTGTGCTCCTGTCGGCTGGGACCTTCCTGGGCTCTGGCCAGACACCCACACGGCCTGGACGCCCTCACAGCATGTGACTGGGTCCCGAGCCGGGCAGAAGATGGGCCCCGGTCCTGACAGAGCCTGGGACACACTCAGTGCCCCTCCCCTCCCACTCTGTTCACGAGAAGCCAGTTGGCCGCCCAGCCTGGACCCAGGGGTAGGGCAGCGAGGTGCCTGTCAAGGAGCTACAGACGTGCCAGCTTTGGCCATGTTGTCTGACACCCGCCCGCCCCCACCGAGTCCCCTCTGCCAAGACACTAATGGTGGAGGGGCGAGTTAGCAGTGAGCTCAGTCACCACAGACGCCCGTCAAGTGTCTGGCACAGAGGAGGGCTGAGAGGTACTCCTGACGTTACTCTGCAAGTGGCAGCAAAGGAGTTTCCGAAAGAACACGTGACCTTCTAGGGCTTCAGTCTCCAAAGACCAATAAACCTCTATTTTCAGCCCCACCCCCAAAAGAAACTGTTCTGAGGTGTGATCCACGGAGGCCAGGAGGGCACAGCACACCTTCCCAGCCTGCTCACCTGGGGCCCCTGCCGCCCGTGGCTCTACATTCCCGTGTAGAGATGAAACTTGCCCACAATTCACCAGTTCCCTAAGACAATTCGTCCAACAATGTGAAGGAAAGGCTTTCTGTGGCATAGGAAGAGGTGTTCAGCTCAGTGCAACTCTGGGAGAAATGGGATCCTGTTAAGGAGGGAAGTTTGGGGCAAAGGAAGTCCTTTGACCAGAAGTGTTGCTCAAGTGGGGAAGTGGGATGCAGCAGCAGGCGTGATGTGTGCCTCCTGCTGGGACGCAGGGCACGGCCCTTCCCATGTGTTTCCCCCCCCAGTTTCTCTCCTAGGACGGCCAGCTGGGAGATGCACATCCTTGCACCCACTAACAAACATCGATCACAGATACTTTTAATGTTCTTGTGTAAAAACTAGCTCGGGGGCTTCCCTGGTGGTGCAGTGGTTGGGAATCCGCCTGCCGATGCGGGGGACACGGGTTTGTGCCCCGGTCCAGGAAGATCCCACATGCCGCGGAGCGGCTGGGCCCGTGAGCCATGGCCGCTGAGCCTGCGCGTCCAGAGCCTGTGCTCCGCAACGGGAGAGGCCACAACAGGGAGAGGCCCGCGTACCGAAGAAAAAAAAAAAAAAAACAAACAAAAAAACTCGGCTACCAGAAAAAAGCACTTCCTTCCTTTGCTTTTGCTGCAGCCTGTTCTCTCCTCTGGAGAGGGGTGGAGAGGGGTCATGGGCCGGGGAAGGGCCTAATGCTCTGTCTTTGGAGTCCTTAGCCGATGGGAACAGCACGCCCAGGGATGTTTGCTTTAACCAGCCTGCCTCTTATCCCTGCAGAGTTACGAGGTGAGGAGTGTCCTTGGAAAGGAGGTGGGGCCGATAACCTGTTTCGTCCGGTCCATCACCACCCGCCCGGCCAGCTGCGTGGGATTGGAGGAGGTGGAACTCCTGAGCGAGGGGGGAGCCTCTTCAGCACACGGGTGGCAGCCGCAGGATCCGTGAACTTTACAAAGTGGCTGCCAGTGGTGGTGGTTCGGTAGTTATTTGTTAACTCTAGGCAGAGTGAATGTCCTTTATGATCTTGAAGTGGAACTTCGATTGGGGCAAATGTTAGTAAAATGGCTTTGTAAACTGTAAATCAAAGTACTTCTTTCTGCGATGATATATATTTTTATTGCCTTTCTGCAAATTTAGAAACACGATAGAGCTTAAATAAGCTTGAGGTTTTCATTTTGTATTTACCTTAGACAATAATATAGTAGAAAAAGTTATTTTGTTCTACTGTAATTCTAAAGTGTTCAAATTTTACAATGATTCAACGTGTTTTTCTTATATTTCTTTTAACATTTCCCCAAAGAATTACCCTGCCGAGTGTAAACCTTTGTCCTCTATCGTCATATTACTGCTCTGCACAGTGTCCAGCCTAAGCGTTCTGCAGCTCAGTATTTTTTGGAAAATGTTCTGGGGAACTATGTCAGAGGTAAAACTGTTTCCCATAAAGTAGAGATAAAGTGACTGGCCTGATGGTAGCTCCTTACGGAGAGACTGACAGGTCTGGTTAGTCCTGCCGGGCACTGCGCAGGACTACGCTGCCACAGGAGAGCTGGGGAATCGTTCACCTTGTTGGCAGAGATCTGAGTTAAAACTAAAACCACGGATTAATCTGGACACTACAAAGATTTCGCGTTTCCTCCCTTATGACAGTGTAATAATGACAGGCCACGGTTAACTAATTACATAATATAGACGTAGCAGCCCAGACCAAGGGAGGCTGCCTAGTACCCACTCTCATGGGGGAAAGGCAACGGCTTTATTTATTCGTCCAGATTCAGCCTTGAAGCATTACCAGTACCGGGAAGGTAGCCGATTTTAAGTAGCTTTGTGACCGTCCTTTCCATCTCCTATATGACTTCTGTACTTTATGCACTTTGAAAATCTACTTGAAGCTGTCTACAGGACTGAGGGAAGCGAAAGCAAATCCCATGAAAGCCAGAATGAGTGGGACTGGTTTTCGGATAACCTGAGCCCTCCTCTCCTTGCCCCCGACTCGAGGTGGGACCCGCTCCGGCCGGTTTCCGACACGTTCCCGGGGCGCCTTCCACCCGAGCGGGTCTCGCTCGGCAAGTTAACCGGCACGTCCGCAGGTGGAGTTTGGCCTGTTGGAGAAGCAAAGCGACGGTCCTTCCAGGAACCCGGCCCCGGGGCGCACACCAGCCAGACGCGCCCTCGCGCCCTCCCCGGCCAGTCCGGAGGGCCGCGAGGGCAGGAATCAAGGTGGGTCTAACACGCCTTTATTCTTACAAATACTGTAAAAATCAGTATAAAAAAGTGAGCATGCTCAGTCTTTTCCTCGTATCTACAGTACAAAGGTTTGTCCGAAAAGTCTCTCTAACGAATGTACCTTAGCTGCCTCCTCGGGCGTAGGATGCAGAGAAGCTGCCGTCACAGTAACTTAGGGTCCACGCGGCAGCTGTCCGAGTCCCGGCCCCGCCCGGGGGTCCGGCACGGCGGTTCCAGGCACTGCGGCCGCAGCCCGCACGCGCCCCGCGTCACCGCGCGTCCGCCGCCCCCGCGCCGGGCAAAAAGGGCGCGCCGGGCAGCTGCTTGAAGAAGCGCCGCAGGCCGGCCAGGTCCCGCGTGAGCTGCTCCACGCGCTGCTGTAGCTTCTCGTTCTCGGCCGAAAGCTCCACCAGCTTCTGCTGCATCTCCTGGTTGCGCCGCTTAGCCTTGTCGCGGCTCTTGCGCACGGCGATGTTGTTGCGCTCCCGCCGCTGCCGGTACTCGGGGCTGCCGCGGTCCGGGCCCCGCTTGCCCGCTGCCTTGTCGCGCGCCGCCCCGGGAGCTGGGGGCGCGGGGCTGCGGCGCGGCGGCTCGGGCGACGCGGGCGGGGTGGGCTGCGCGGCGGCCGCCAGGCTCACCACTGTCTGCGCGCACGCGGCCACCTGCGCGGGCAGCAGCGAGCCGGGCGCGTCGCCGTCGCCCCAGTCGGGCTCGCGCTTGAGCGGTCGCGGCGCGGGGCCGGGGCCCGCGGGGCGCGTGGGGCCCCCGGGCAGCAGCTCCAGGGCGCCCGCCTTGTGGTTGCTGTTGAAGAGGTCGGCGAAGAGCTCATCGTGGCACAGCTCCAGGGTGGGCACGGCGGCCATGGAGTCGATGTAGGCGCTGAAGTCGATAGCGCTCTCGTCGTCGTACATGGCGGGCGCGGCCGGCTCGGCTCCGCGACCCAGCTTCCCCGCGCGGCCGGGCTCGTAGAAGGCGGCGGGCTCCGCAGTCCAGGGCGCGCCGCGCGCCGGGCCGTCCAGGCTGAAGAGCGCGGCGCTCATGGCGGCGTCGGGCCGACGGCGAGCGCGGTCCTCGGGCGGGCCGGGCGCCGCCTTTTCTAGCCGGACTGACGCGCACGCCCCGCCCCGCCCCGGCCGCGGACCGCGGGACCCCCGCCCGCGCGCCTCCCCCGTGCTTCCTGCCCGCCGGCCCGGCCCGCGCGGCGCTGCCGGGAACGACCCTCCCTCGGCCGCGCCTCCTCCTTCCTGCTGGTGGGTCGGGGCCTCTGCGCCCGCGGAGTCGGGGCGGAACCAGAACGGGGCCCGGGCCAGCGCGCGGACTAGGGCCCGGGGGCGCTCCCCCGCGGCTTCAGGGAATTAGGGTCTCGCGGCTTCCGGATGGCGGGGTTGGAGACGCTGCCCCGCGGGGTTCCGCCGGGTCCGGGGGTCGCTCTCCAACCCTGCGCGCCTAGGGCCGGGGGAAGCCGGGAACCACGAGCGCGCGA